TATGCATGCATACAAGTCCTTTGGTTGCTCTCTACCCCCCCCAACTCCCCTGCCATTTGTCTTTGGATCTATTTTTTTTATCAAATTATGTTGTTCATTATATCCCACATATGAGTGAGATCATGCGATATTTATCTTTCTCTGACTGGCTTATTTCACTTAGCATAATGCTCTCCAGTTCCATCCATGCTGTTGCAAATGGTAAAAGTTCCTTCTTTTTTATAGCGGCATAGTATTCCATTGTGTAGATGTACCACAGTTTTTTAATCCACTCATCTGCTGATGGGCACTTAGGTTGTTTCCAAATCTTAGCTATTGTAAATTGTGCTGCTATGAACATAGGGGTGCATATATCCTTTCTGATTGGTGTTTCTGGTTTCTTGGGATATAGTCCTAGGATATTTTTCCATTGAATTTTAGAAAGAGTGGAAGGGAGAGGGAGAGACAGAGAGAAACATCGATGTGAGAGAGACACATTGATTGGTTGCCTCATGCACACAACCTGAGCAGGCTGGGGAACCTACAACTGAGGTACATGTCCTTGACCGGAATTGAACCCGGGACCCTTCAGTGCTAGGGCTGTAGGTAATTTTCTTAAAATATTTTTGTATGGTAGCAATTGATATGTGGTGAAATGGTATATATTTGTATCAAGTAAAGAGAAAATGCAAATCAAGGTGTTAGTTGCTTAAATGGTAGATTTGGAGTGATTGGCAATGTTTGCTTAAGTGGCTTTAAAAGTTTTATCTTATACTTCTTTTGTGACTTGACAGTTAAATTTATTTGTGTTTTGCCCAACTAGTGTGGTTCAGTGGTTCTGCATTGTACCTATGAACCAGGAGGTCATGGTTTGATTCCCAGTCAGGGCACATACTGGGTTGCGGGCTTGATCCCCAGTGTGGGGCGTTCAGGAGGCAGCTTATCAATTATTCTCTCCCATCATTGATGTTTCACTTTCCTCTCTTATGCCTTCCTCTCTGAAATCAACAAAAACATATTTAAAAAGAAAAAAAGGTCTTATATATATGTTTTACACTTGTCTTAGTTATTCAGTTCTTAGTTTATTGTTAGAACAAGCATCTTTTAAAGCTCTTATTTCTAATATGGAGGGAAAAGAATGGTTACCTCCATTAAAGAAGCAGGTCTTTGTGTTGCTGGTTGAAGGGAGGTATCTCTCTTTAAGATCACTTTCAACTTGGTGGGGTTTTTTAGTGTTTTGTTTTTTGCCTCAAATGGGTCTCTTTTAAACCTGACTTCACTCTTTGGGTGTGTAGGAGTTTGCGGTCTTGTCATCTGGAAATAGAAGTTTGTTCTAGCACAGTATGTTTGATACCTTTTACAATGTTTTAATTAAGATATAAATGTGTTACTTTATTTCATTGTCTTGAAGGCAAACTTTTTTCCGTATTTTTAACATCTCTGGAATTGGGTTGCTTCTCTCATTTGGTGATATCCTAGTTATAATAGCTCCTAACTATGGTACTTCTTCATATCAGTGCTATTACAGCTCATTGAAATGTGTTAATTACTAATTCCCCATTATCTGGTATCCTGAAATCTCCTTAAGCTTTTTTATATTTCTCTTCTTCTGGTAATGGAATTTTGATAATTGAATAAATACCTCAGTATATCCTTTTTGTTCATAATTAGAGCAAACACTTACTATGTGCCAAGTACTGATCTGAGTTCTTCTCATTCATATATGCTATATGTATCATATATATATGATTATTTCATTATGAGATTTACTGAATTCCGTAGTTAAGAGGAATAACTAAAAATGTCAACGTATTTAATGTAAAATATCAGGTTAAATGCTATTATAGGCCACCGCAATAAACACTTTAAAATATAATTTAATCCTCACAACTCACTATGTGAAAGATATTAAAATTTATTATGTAATCTCATTTTACAAACGAGGAAGCTAAAAATCAGACAGGTTAAGGTTAAGTAACTTGCCCAGAATTATGACATAGATTGTAAGCAACAGAACTGGGGTTTGAACTCATATCTGCCTGACTTCATTGTTTTTGTGCCTAATGGCTATAACTCTTTCTGGCTTTAGAAACTTGTATAAGTTGGATTTTTAAAAACAAACAAACAAAAAACACCTTTTTTTGGCAGAGGGTAGGATGGCAGGTGGGGGAGTCTGAGTTGCGGGGCGGGGGGTGGTGGTGTCTATTTCTGTCCTAAGAGTTTGTAAAATAATCTATAACGTGTTCAAAGAAGATAAAATAATTGATTTTTCTTTTGCATATTAAGATGGTGATGGAATTTCCTGACAATGTGTTAAATCTTGATGGCCATCAAAATAATGGTGCACAACTAAAGCAATTTATTCAGGTAATAGTTTTAAAACCCAGTCTTTTAAAGTGTGTGTGTGGGGGTTGGGGGGGAGGGGTGTTTTAAAGAGTCATTGAAAATTTTAGCCATATTAATTTTGTTTTACCTAGGGCTCTTTAGGTCTTAAGATTACATTGAAGTTGCTTTCTTTTATTATAGCTACATTGAATATATTTATGTACTTTTCATGTGAAAGAGATTAGGTTTTGGTGTGTTAACATTTTACATGTCTATAAGGCTTTAATTTCACTAGGTCATCTTTCTTTCCTGTTTTTTAAAGGTAAGGTATACCTCTTTTCATTGAGAACTTGTTGATTTTCTTCTATAGTAATTTTTATTCAAGTAAAAAAAAATTAACCCTGTGTTGTGAGCTTTTTGATTATTTAATTCTTATGCAGTATTATACTTTATAATACACTATATAATTAAGATAATGGAGGATAAATTATTACTTTATTTCAGAATTCTGTTTCTGCCTTTGGAGTAAAATTTGAATGAATGGTTAATAGTAAATGTGAGAAAAGTCCATTTTAGGTGTAAACTTACTTTTCCATCTGATTTTTTTAGTAAAGCTGGAGGCATTACTTATAGTGTAACTATAACTCCATCCAGGTAGAAGTTATTTACTAAAGTTTTGCCCATTCCTCTACAGCTGTAGTTCTCAGTCATTTTTCAACCTTGTCATAGCTAACAGATAACATTCATATGCACCAGCATATTAGTTACTCATTGCAGGTTCCTACATAGGTACGATAGGTGTTGTTCTTGCCCACTAATCCATAACACACCTGTCCATACCTCCAGGTTAAGAATTGCTGTTCTGCCGAAACCGGTTTGGCTCAGTGGATAGAGCGTCGGCCTGCGGACTGAAAGGTTCCGGGGTCGATTCCGGTCAGGGGCATGTACCTGGGTTGCGGGCACATCCCCAGTAGGAGATGTGCAGGAGGCAGCTGATTGATGTTCCTCTCTCATCGATGTTCCTAACTATCTCTCTCCCTTCCTCTCTGTAAAAAATCAATAAAATATATTAAAAAAAAAAAAAAGAATTGCTGTTCTACATGATCACCATCCTAACTTGACTCCTGTAGCTAAACATAATGTGTTGTTAAAAGTTGAGAAGACATGGTAAAGCTGCACTGTCTTTTTTTTCTCTCTTTTTTTCCATTTAAAGCAAGAGTATTAAACTTAATACTTGAATAAACACTAAATTTCCAAATGCAGGGCTTCGTTTTGCTATGCTGGGGCACATCCTAAGCAGAGCTTTTTATAACCTAGTTTCTAGAAAGGGGAGTTTATGCAGCAAACAGTATCATATGGACAAGGCTGACCATTTTGCCTTTTTTAAAAATATGCTTTTATTGATTTTAGGGAGAGGGAGGAGAGGGACAGAAGCATCAGTGATGGAGAATTATTAATCGGCTGCATCCTGCATGTACCCTACTGGGGATTGAGCCCGAAACCTAGACATGTGCCCTGACCTGAAATTAAACTGCGACCTCCTAATTCATGGGTGGATGCTCAACCATTGAGTCACACTGGCTAGGTTACTTTGCTTTTTTTTGACTCAGTTGCAGATAGAGATGGCAATCCTTGCCCAAGTTGTACTTAATGCACAAGGGTAGGAACCAGAAGTAGTAGTAAAAGAGTAATTTTATGTGTTTCTTAAGTATTCTTCATTTTTCTTTCAGCGACATAGTATGCTTAAACAACAAGATCTAAGTATTGCCATGGTGGTGACATCACGTGAAGTCTTGAGTGCACTTTCTCAGCTTGTCCCATGTGTTGGTTGTCGTCGCAGTGTGGAGCGCCTCTTTTCCCAGCTTGTAGAGTCTGGAAATCCTGCCCTTGAACCCCTGACAATAGGGCCCAAGGGAGTTTTATCTGTAACTCGAAGCTGTATGACTGATGCAAAGAAACTTTATACATTATTTTATGTACATGGGTAAGTATAATCAATTAGGAAAAAGTGGGTTTGTTAAGTTTTTTAACTTGGTGACAGTGGTAGCTTTTATTCTAAATTTGGTTGGAGTAAATCTTGATTCAAATCAGTAATTTTATTGAGTAACTTATATGTGCCAGTGACTTTATAGTCACTGTTTTCATATGGTGAGAGGCAGGCCATAAGCAAATACATAATTTGTCAGGTATGATATTGCAGAGAAAAATCAGGAAGATAGAGAATGAGTGGGTAGAATTAATACGGAGAATGGTTAGGGAAGACCTCTTATAACATTGAATATAGACTTGAGTGAGGTGAGTGAAACGTAGATATCTGGGGGAAGAGAAGGAGCTGCAAGTGTAAAGGTTCAGAAATTGAGGTTTCTTGACACGTTTGAAGAACAGCAAGGAAGCCATTGAACAGCTGGAGCCAGATGAATGAAGGGAATAGTAATAAAAGATGAGGTCAGAGGAGTAATAAAGACCCAATTATGTAGTGCCATCTTGAAGCCTTTTTTATTCTGAGTGAGATGGGAAGATTTGGGAGGGTTTTGATTTGAAGTTTCCGTTACTTTGACTTCTGTGTTGAGAATAAATGGAAAGATGGAGAAAAGGCAGAGAAACAGGCTGTTTAATAATCCATGTGAGAAATAACAGGTAATAAATGGTTGAATCCTGGTTGTATTTTTGAGGAATGAGCCAACAGGATTTTTGGATAGATTGGATGTGGGAGGAAGGTATCAGGGATGATTCTTAGAACAAATAGTTTCCATTTTCTGAGATGGATAAGACTGGAAGGAGCAATTTTGCAGAGCTCACTTTTGGACATGTTAAATTTGATGCAAATTTTACATGATAAGGGAGCCTTCATAAGGAAATAAGGACCCAAAGAAGTGGTTAGGCATGAGCATTTAAAAAACTTGATTGAGCCCTAACTGGTTTGGCTCAGTGGATAGAGCATCGGCCTGCAGACTGAAAGGTCCCAGGTTCGATTCCAGTCAAGGGCATGTACCTTGGTTGCGGGCACATCCCCAGTGGGAGGTGTGCAGGAGGCAGCTGATCAATGTTTCTCTCTCATTGATGTTTCTAACTCTCTCTCTCTCTCCCCCTTCCTCTGAAATCAATTTAAAAAAAAAAGACTCACCCTCACTACTTCCCTGACAGGCTAAAGGTCAAGGAGGAGGGAAAATGGACGCTGTTGCCCTTTGGGACAGGTTGGCACACCTTGGTTCCCTGTAATTGCCCTGCCCTTGCCACTGTGACCACACAAAGCTGTATATATATCTCTCTCTCTCTCTCTCTCTCGCTCTCTATATATATATATATATATATATATACACACACACACACACACATATACATATATACACATATATATGTATATATACGTGTATATATATACACACACACACATATATATACACACACCACACACGTATATGTATAGGAACATACATATATGTGTATTTATACTTAAAATATAACTATAGTATTTATATAGTATATAAATATATGGTATATTAGACACAGACACATACATATAAAATTTAAGACAATGATACGAAATTTGATCATCAAAAAGTGTATAAATAGGAAAAGAGAAGAGGTCTGAAGACCAAACCCTGGGGCTTTCTTATTTAGAGGTGGTGGTAGAGACTTTGGATTTTTGTTCTGTCTGAGAAATGCGTTGGGTGGTTTTTGAACAGAGAATAACATAATGTGATTGTAGTTTTGAAAAGATTATTCCAGCTGCTAAATGTGAAGCCTTAGAATGTAAAGGCAAAAAGACCATTTGGGAGGCCAGCTGTTACTATTGTCTGAGCTAGAGAGGAGAAGTTGGGCAAGAGTGGTGGTGATCATGGAGATGATGAGAAGTGGTTTGATTCTGGATATAAAGTTAGAGTTTCCAGGCTTTCCTGATTAGTTGGATGTAAGGTATGGATGTTAGCTGTACATATTCTGTATTTGCATAAAATTTCTGTTGATGGCTTCTCATCAAGGATAGTATATATTTAGATAATGTTTGAACAAGGGAAGGTGACTGAGAGGTAGCAATCAAATAAAATATTTCAGGTACACTGCTAGATAAAGCGCAGATGCAGGGGATGAATGAGACATGCAATCTGGGAGAAAGAGTATGTTGAATAGAGCAGTTCTCTTTTAACATTTTGACAGAATGGAATGGGAAGGCTAGTGTACAGACTCTTTTTGGTTAGAATTTGTTTGATAAGAAATTTTCTAAGTAAGTGATGTGTTTATACTTTAAATATAGCAAAAGGTGGTAAATAGATATTTGGAAATTTTAAAGAAAAATATATTTAAACAATTTTTTATTTTAGTAAGAGAGGAGGGGGAGAGAGAGGAACATTGATTTGTTGTTTCACTTATTTATGCATTTATTGGTTGATTCTGGTGTGTGCCCTGACTAGGGATCAAACCCACAACCTTGGAGTATTGGGATGATGCTCTAACCAACTGAGCTACCTGGCCAGGGCAAGAAAAATAAATATTAATCAAACCTTTAATGGTTTATTTTTAATTAGGTCCAAACTATATGACATGATAGATGCTATTCCAAAAAGTAAAAA